TTGCACAAGGTATGTCTTAAAAGTGAAGACCAGAATTATCAACAATTCCTCTTCACGATATGTTCATTTCGTACTTGAGTGGGCGTACACAATTTGTTGAATTTAACGGGTTCAAATCAGTTTCATACAATCCTTCTAGTGGTGCCCCTCAGGGGAGTAACCTAGCTCCACTCATCTTTGCTATATTTGTGAATGACATTGCAGACACTATCTTGTCTGACTGCGTGTTATTTGCGGATGACCTGAAAATCTTTAGAATAATCAATAACATTTATGACTGTAGAGAATTACAAAAGGACATCAACTCCTTATCTGCTTGGTGTAGCATTAATAAACTTATGCTTAATATTAATAAATGTCATTCTATGACAATATCTAACCTTAACCAAGAATTAAATTTTGCTTATTCCCTAGACAACAGTACTCACACCAGCGTTGAATCTATACGTGACCTTGGAGTCATAATTGACAAGAAACTCACATTTAACAGTCATATCGACGAGCTCGTACAGGCTACTCTAAGAACACTTGGATTTATATTCAGGTCTACCAAAGATTTTACATAAACAGAGAGCTTAATTACTTTGTAAAACTCATTAATTAAATCTAAGTTACAATATGCAGCTTTGATATGGTTTCCCAACTATGAAATCCATGTCGACAGGCTCGAATATGTTCAGCGCAGATTCCTGAAATATCTTAGTTTTAAACTGGATGGAACTTATCCTCCAAGGGGGTTTGATCATAAGTTGTTGCTACAACACTTTAACTTCCTGTCACTTAAACAAAGTACAATTCTTGCCAGTAAACTATTTTTATTTAAAATTTGCAACAACTTAGTCGATTCTGGTGAATTACTAAATAATCTTAACTTCTTTGTACTGTCGATAAACACACGAACTCACCATAGATTTTATTTAGAAAATTTTCGCACAAACCTTGCCAGAAAAGCGCCCATATACAGGGTGTCCCACAGTGGATGGCGTATTAGACGTTTATGGAGAACTAAAAAGCGGATCATTTTGAAAATTTGGCAACCGGGATAAACGACCATGATCTACACTTTAAAAATATTTTTGTTTATGCGATGTTGCCGCTTCTACTCTAAACCAGTGGCAACATCGCTATTTTAAATGAAACACCCTGTATGTGATTGCATATTTGGATTCTACGTAAAATTCTGAGCAGATTTCATGTGATATACCCTATACCTAAGTTCAACTTAGAAGAGCACTAGTGATGCAGTATTCAACTTTCTTCAGAGGCTGTATCTTGGACTGAATCAGGGGGAGATCGCGGCTGCGGTCTTTTGCGATTTTTCCAAAGCCTTCGATTGTGTAAGCCGTAAGATATTACTCCAGAAAGTCTTTCATTATGGATTCAGGGGTAACACTTTGAGCTGGATACAGTCTTATCTGACAGACAGAAAACAGATTGTTAAGGGCCACAACGATGTATCATCGGTACGGAGCATTGAGCATGGGGTGCCCCAAGGATCAGTGCTTGGTCCCCTATTATTTTTGATTTACATTAATGATCTAGCTTGCATCAACATTGATGCATCAATTACACTTTTTGCTGATGATACTACCATCTTATGGCTGGGATCAGACAAAGTCACATTGGAGGATAGGATTGGGCAAGATATTCGCAAGGTAAAGCAGTGGTGTGACTCCAATAAACTATCTTGCAACATATCGAAAACAAATTTACTTTCCTTTAAGTGTTCTGTGGCAAATATAACTTTAAATGATGAGCCACTTGCTAATAGGGATTGTTCGAGGTTCTTGGGCTTAGCTATAGACTCTAAGTTGAAGTTTGGTGAGCATATCAATGACTTGCGAAAAAAACTAGCTCCTGCATGTTATGCGTTAAGGACGGTTCGTAATGAGTTGGGTCATGACATTGCAAGGGGTGTGTACTTTGCACTTGTTGAGTCACGTCTCAGATATGGCATTGAATTTTGGGGTTTTGCCAGTGGTCAAATAGTTAATTCAGTTTTTGTTTTACAAAAACGGGCTGTTCGTTTATTGTGTGGAGTCGGCTCTAGGGAACACTGCCGGCCTCTGTTCATCCGGGAGGGAATTCTTACATTGACCTGTATTTTTATTTTACTGACGGTGGGCATGGTTCACAAAAAATATAAAGGATCAGATGACAATAATGACACCAGGACAACTAGGTTCAACAGCAACAATCTGAGTCTGTGCATCCCAAGGAGTGCATTAACAAAAAACTCAATAATATACGAGGGGAAAAAGATGTATAACCACCTGCCTCTTGAGATCAAATATCTAGACAATAGTATCCTTTTTGCTAGAAAGGTGAAACAGCTTCTGCTCTTAAAAGCATATTACTCTCTGGAAGAATTTTATGGCGATAGGCTCTAGCTTTGGCGATTGTATGAATTATGACGTCTATCTGTAACTTGAAAAATACTTTGATCTTTATTTTTGTTTGTTCGCTTTTTTATTTTTTTATTTGTATGTACCATATATAAGAGCTTGACTGGATTTGTGAATGACATTTTGAGTAGCAGTTTTTGGTTTTTTAATGTTTTTATCTTGATTGTCTTTGTTAGTTTTTAGTATTTTAACATGTAACGTTTCAGTGTCTCCTCATAATGTTTTTGTATTATTTTTGTATTATTTCCATTTTAGCTTTGTAAATAAGGGTCTTAAGGCCTTTTTGTACAATAAAGCATTTTTTGATTTGATTTGATTTGAACTGTTTTGGAAACTTTGACAGTTGAAAATTGACTTTTTGCAACTTTGACAGGCTGTAAAACCTGAACGATTAATTTTAGAGAAAAACCGATTTTACATTCCTATCTTAGGAACTTAGGTATAGGGTATATCACATGAAATCTGCTCAGAATTTTACGAAGAATCCAAATGTGAAATCACTTACAGGGTGTTCCATTTAAAATAGCGATGTTGCCACTGGTTTAGAGTAGAAGCGGCAACACCGCATGGTCAAACATGTTTTTAAAGTGTAGATCATGGTCGTTTATCACGGTTGCCAAATTTTCAAAATGATCCGCTTTTTAGTTCTCCATAAACGTCTAATACGCCATCCACCGTGGGACACCCTGTATAGAGCCTGCTCATGGTTTAACCAATTATCCAATAACAGTGATATAGACACGGCTCTGTTGATTCATTCAAAACTAAAATAATACCAAAAATCAAAAGTAATTTTGATTGATACATCTTGTTTTTTTTTTATTTCAATTTTTTCCATTTTTTTTTTCTCTTGTTTCTTATAATACAATATTTTTTCTTTTGTGATAAATTTTTTTTTTGCTGATAAATTGTACCATAATGTACCTGCGACCAATGACTATTTGCAATTGTTAAACAAAGCTTATTAATAAGGTGTTAATCAAGTATTGTATCAATTTAGTGTACTTAATTTAAGTTTGCAATAACTGTTTTTACTACTAATTTTAATTGTCTTGTAATTGGGATTTATCCTGTTAGACAATAAATTATGATGAAAATAAACAAAATTCGAATGAAATGTGGAAAACGTTAAAAACAATAGTAAATGAAAAAAATCAGGAAAATATAAAAAATGGCATAATCTTTAACGGAGAAGTCATTGGAAAGGATATATTATGTGAAAGGTTCAACGAACATTTTCTAAACAGTATAAATGAAATTATGGAAAATATAAATCCGAGCAAGACCCATGACGAAAGTATATCGCACATTGAAAATGCAAAAAATTAGAATCATTCTGTATGATCGAGATGTAAGGAAAACAATTAACAATATGCAAAATAAAGAGAGCAATATAGATAGTATACAGTACAAATTTCAAAATATGCATTTGAAACTATAGGTGATAAAATTCTGAACCTAATAAACACCAGTTTGAGAAAAGGAACATTTCCAAAAAACTGGAAAACTAGTAAAGTTGTTCCAATCGAAAAAATTAACGGGACCACTAAAGGTGAAGAATTCAGACATATTAACATTGTGGCACCTTATGAGAAACTATTGGAATTGTGCGTAAATAAACAAATAGTGCAATATTTAGAAAAAAAAACAATTTCCTCAGTGAATACCAGGCTGGTTTTAGAAAGAATTCATGCGAAACTGCGTTTCAGATATTACTTTTTGACTGGGAAAGATGCTTTGGAAAAAGGAGAAATGATCGGCGTGGTTTTCTTAGACTTCAGAAGCGCATTTGAAACAATAAATTGAAATCTATTGATGCTCAAAATGGAAAAATATGGCTTTGGACATAACATTTTTAAATGGTTTAAGGATTATCTCAGCAAAAGATCACAGGTGACAAAATACGGCCAAGTGTCAAAAGCGAGAGAATCAATACATGGTGAAGAACTGTATTGGGTCCTGTTGTAACTATGAAACTATCAAAAATAAAAAATACTGGTCCCCAATTTAAAACAATTGGGAAGACATTTTTTTGCATTCACTTCTGGACACCCTGTAGTAATAGTAAATTTACAGTGTAGCAAACAGGTGATGTCATTGGCGGCGGCGGTGCCCATAAAAGAACCGAGAACTGCTAAGCATAACAATTTAGAATTTGCTTGAAACACTTTTCGGGTATGTTCTGTTTATTTGTAAATTGTTAAAATCGCAGCACATACAGAATAATGTAAGATCAACTGTGTTTTCTATGCTTGAATATTGCACGCCAGTAGATAATTTCATATTGTGAGCTGAGATTAACACAATGCATAATCATTATTGCAAATAGGCGTGTTTTTTTTTTGGTAAAATGACTATGACCTTACTTGGCACAATAATATTGAACTCACAAACATTTCTAGTTTTGTCTAAAAGTAAAGATGTAGCTTAAGTTAGGTTTGTTAAAAACTGAGCCTAAAAATAAATCAAGGAGCTAAAATTTTATAGGACAGACTCTCAGGCATTCGGAAAGATAAAATTTGCCATGCCATAAAGATGGTTGCAAAAGTCTAAATTCAAGGTTTTTTCTCAAATAAAAACATAAAAATATCTCACCTGTTTAGTTTCTTGAGTCTCCTCAGCCTCGCTAGAACTATCTGAACTGTTTCTTCTAACTCCAGTTCTTGTCCTTATATCCAGAGTAAAGTGATCGTTCGCATCGGAATTATGACCACCATCGGCTACGGCATCGAAGAACTCGTTTTCATCTTCTTCTTCAGGCTCGCTAGCTACTGAAACAAGGGTTAGAATTTAGTTTACTGAAATTTACATTAATTTATTTCGAACATAAAATGTAAAACTTCAAATTTAGGTTAGAGGGGCATGACAAGCAGGTACCAGGTGGTACAGGTACTGCATTTTTTCTTAATAGGTAAATTTATGTTTTTAGTGGAGCCGAATACTGATTTTGATTTCAGTGCAACTTAAAATCAAATGATTTTTTTAATGAGCAAGTAATAAAAATTAAACAAACTTCCCATATTATTATTATAAAACCTACTAAAATTGAGGTTAAAACAAACCAATCTAAACAACACAGGTCACAAAGGTTTGAAATTGAAAACAAAGCCTTACTTATATTATTATACACTTTACTAGTCCTTGAGAGCGGTTTATGTCGATTATTTTTCATTGTAGTCCGAACACTGCGAATTATTTTTAAATCTTCAACAACTAAATTTAATTTGAAACTTAAAAAAATCTAAATAGGAACATTTAGGTATACACTTTTCTCGGGTTTGCTGTGCTGTGGCCCTGAGATGACGCGCAAACGAAACAGCTGATTGTTCGAAATCAGCAGGCAGGATGTGTCACAAACTTTTTCCGCCACTGGTCGTCCAACAGCAGCTTTTTGCTTTATGAATGAATGAATGAATATCCATTAAATAATTAATTATCATAGAAGTGTACTGCTTATTGTTTGGTTGATAAGAACCGGTGATAAGAACGAATAATGTAGCTCTATAGTTTTAAAATACCCAGACAAATCAACTTATGATTGCAACAAATACAATGCTTATAAAGGTCAAAGTCTGATTGGGGTGATTCAAAACTAATGCAACAATGATCAGGCTAGGGACTATCAGTGAAATATTGTTTAAAATCTCTTTTCTTTTCTTTGTTGAATCAATTATAAAATAAATGATGTTGTGTGAAGTAATAATCAATTTAATTGTTTTTTTTTTTTTGGAATCGGGTATGTAAGCATAGAGGCTGCGAAGTGTGTATTAAATCAATACTCTGTCAGTGCCCTTGGATATAAAATATGTATTTTAATAGCATGGATTATGTGAAGGTACACAAAGAAAATTCGTCGCCGACTAATTTAAAAACAAAGGAAATTTCTGATATTAAAATAAAGATTATTTTATTTCCTTTTATTACCAACAATTTGTCACGAATTTTTCCATTATCTCAATGATATTTAAGTTTAGATGAAGCACATTTTATTTTAAACTCAGTGTAATCAAGGTACAATCACACAATGGGATTCCTGAATATTTCCGCACGGATCGTTACAATGACGTTAACTTTTCTTTCCGTACCAATGTTATTTTTTTCTACTGACGTTTCATAATAGCAACTTTTCGATTGTCATTTTAGTTTTAAAACGACATTCTTTTAAGCACTGAATGCGTAAAAGTTACTTTTAGGCACTCAGTGCGTAAAAGTGAGTTTTGAATGCGTAAAAGTGACTTTTGAGTACGTAAAAGTAATTTTTAAGCACTAGTGCCTAAAAGTGTCATTCATTATTCAGAAATAAAAAACACACTAGATACAAATTTGAATTTTGTTTTGTATTTATTATGAATATTAAAAATGTAATTATGGAATTGAACGTTTGGGTTACCCAAAACAGAACTTTGTGTTATTACCTACTTTCTAGGATTTTAATTATTGATGTCAAATCTTGAAAAAAAAATCGTATGAAAGGTGTCAGGTGTCAAGCAAAAGCAGGTAACAAAGATTTTGGGCGTATAATCGACTTATTCACATGAAATAAAATTGTGTTTTTCTATTATAAAATGCCAGTAGAAAAAATCTTGTATACAATACGTTACGAAACGATTTCTTTTAGTCACTCGACGTGTTGTCCAACTCGGCTTTGCCTCGTTGGACAATTTTCACGTCGCGTGCCTAAAAGACGCTCATTTCGTAACTTATTGTATAAATAGCTATTTCAACACTTACTGCCTCTCAAATCAGAACATCCGAATTTCTCGTGATAAGCCTTCACCCTCAGTTAGTGTAGTCAATCTAGGCAGGTTTATAGACGTAAAATCGAATTCTGAACCACTTTTCTCTCTACAATTTTTCGATTTCTGGTCATCTTACCCCACTTTTTACATAAGTTATCAATACGTAGGCCGATAACAAGTTTTTAAAAAACAATTTATTCACTAAATTACAATAGAGAAATACTTCGCGTTGCGCGTTACAAAGTTTCAAATAAGAAATATAATTACAATTCAACTGACTAACTATTCTAGGCGGGCAGCGATATTTATAATAAAGAAAAGCGAATTAAGCAGTTTATATGAATGGTCAGCAAATAGAGCTGACATTACTCCTCCCTTCTTAAGATACAACTTCATGCTAAGCGAGGAAGTTGGATTGGTCGGGCTTCTTCTTCGGGGTGGTTGTCCCCTCTTCGTTTCTTCAGCTTCGGTGCTAGTTTCTTATAGCCAAGAACAGCACACCCAGCAAGGATCATAGCATATATCAGAATGGTTCCCAAACTTGGTAGTCTTCTGATTTCACTAAACGTCAAACGGTTTTCTACCATCTCATTAGCTAGTTGGTGGAGATTGTCCAGTTTTATGGTTTTTAAGTGTGTACCTAAATTCAGGGAATGCATTAATTCAGGTACATTTGGAAGGTCAGGAAATAGTATAGGTTGTGCATCTGATTTCAGAGGCTTCTTTTCGTTGATAATCAGTCTCGAAGAGATAGTTATTTGGCAACTGGTTGGTATACGAACTAGAAAGGTTCCAATAACTTTTCTGATTTCTTCTTGTCCAAAGCACTTGAGTTTTATAGGTACTTTAGCCGGAAGTACAAATACCCATTGATTGGATTTGTCCAATCGATTGATTATTGGTTGTGTGATTTTGACTTCAGTTGGCTTGCAAGTAGAAGTGTCTTTTTCAGAGTTCAGTAGCTTTACTTCACATGGACTGCTGTCTTGAAGTTCGTGGAGTTCTTCTTTTTCGCATAGGTGGAATTCAGGAAGGATTTCCTGGCATTCTTGGCCATAATGTGCGTAGTGCAATCCGTTTTTTAGAAGATATTTATTTTGTGGAAGGACTACCTTAAACTGACTCTGACTTTTGATTGGTATTGAATATAGGTGGAAATAATCGAAAGATTCAGGATACATTATAGGTATATGGACCAAATAAGTTATTTTATTGTTAAGAATAAATGATTCTAATTTGATGATTTTTTCATACAAAAGAATGTTCTCAACATTAACTGCTAAAGGCATTTGTTCATTACTTAGTTGTTTTTGTAATTTGATAAGTTCTGTACAGAGATCTTCAGTTCTCATTATGCTAGGATGCATAATTTTTAACTTGGAAAAAGTTAAAGAGTTTTCGACATCTTGTAATATTGAATCTATTATTTCATAGACATTAATAATTTGATTAATTATGTCCTTAATATAAAGAGAATTTTCTCTATAAGCAGATTTCTCTACTATGTGTGCGATTTGATTGATTTTTGATTCTAAGAGTTTCTCATTATAATTTATTTGTTTTATCGTCGTATTGAATTTTTCAATAACAGTTAAAGAAAGTGAATTTTGTTTCAAAATATTTGCTTGCAAATTCTTTTGATTTCCTTGCAATTCCCTTATAAGATTTTCATAACGTTCGCCATCGTCAGCGTCGAGGTTTCCGGTTACGGATTTGAAAATTGACCCTAGGCCGTTAATCAAGCCTCTTTTTGTTCTTTGTGGCTGAGGAATTATTTCTTTAATTTTGTTATCTACTCTAATTTGTATTAGTTGAATTAATTTGATATAATTACTAATATCTTCAGAATACTCTTTGTGTCCATTAAGCATGTTAGTGATATTATTGGATTTAGAGTGTAGTTTGTTAATTTCGATAAGTATGGGATTTAGGTCATAGTAGTGTATCAATGTGTAGGTGTAGTCTCTAATTTTTGCATTTCCAAGTTTCACTGGGATAATTTCAGGATTATCGTCCAATTTTCTTATGGAGATTTGCTCTTGGTTTCCTAATGCGTGGGTTATAAAGCTGAAATAAAGATTAGTAAGCGTAAGCGTGAGGTTATCATATTCATATTTATTAGTACCAATATTATTATACTTATTACCTATTTATTAAAATTAACTTAAGTATCGAAACTATATTTGTTTCTTAGAGGACGTTTAATATTGTCCATATGCACTTTGCCTAGAGTGTCCGTTGTTATTGTTTTCCGTGTGGGGTCAACGGTCTCTATTTGTGTGGCTGGTCGAAATTTGTCTCCTAATTTTTGGCGTGTATGTTTCTTTACATATATTTTCTGTTCTGGTCTAAATAATGTTGGCTTATCACGATTTTCATTGATTTTGCCAATTATTTTATTTTTTGTATCCATAAGACGTTCATTTATGTTGGAATACAAGAGTTTTGTTTTATTTTTGTGCTCGTTGACGTAATCTGTAATTAGGAGTTGATCTAACTTAAGATCGAATGGGTCATTGGGACTTATGTGTCCTGTGATTATGTCAATGGGCTTGTGTTTGGTTACAGAGTGGATCGTATGATTGTATGCTAAGATTGCATATTTAATTTTTTGGGTAATTGGCGTTTTTAGGAATCCTTGATTGTTGAAAATTCTTATGTGTTCAGATAAGGTTGAGTGGAGCCTCTCTATTACGCCATTAGATTGGGGATGTTCAGGAGAACAAAAATGTATTTTTACTTTGTGAAGTTGGAGTAGTTCAGTAAGAACAGTATTCTTGAACTCAGTTCCATTGTCTGTGATTATCTTTGATGGAATGCCATGATGTGAAAAGAAGGATATGAGATTATCACATATTTCGGTAGCGGATAAAGATGTAAGGGCATAAGCTTGGGCATATTTAGAAAAACTGTCTATTATAGTAAGAAATTTAACCTTATCGAGAGTATATGTATCCAGGTGGATGATGTCAAATGGTTTTGTTGCAGAAGGCGTGATGTTCATTTCCATATTTATTGAGTGACGTTCATAT